TCTGGGCTGAGATCAGTCCTGGAGGGGACAGACAGTCCAGAAATCAGTATATAAGTGAGGGGCAGAGAGCAGTGAGAAACAGAGAGAGTGGGGAGAACAGAAGAGGCGAGGAAAGTTAAGTGACCACAGGACGGCTCTCACACCTTTGTGGAACTGGGGCCTGTAGTGATACTGGGGGTCTCCCATCTTGGCCAGGAAGGTGTAGAGGTTCCCACTGACGGCCATAGAGAAGACCAGTGTTGCGCAGATCCAGAATGGCCCTGAGAGAGGAGATGAGCAGGGAAGGGGGAGACAGGGAGAGAGATGGAGATGGATTATGAGACCCAACACTGCGACTCCATACTGCGGCCATGTGGTGTTTCTGTGCGACATGAACAAATGTGCTGCTCTAACAGGGTCTGCAGAGTACGAGCCTTATCTGAGCTGCAGTCCTCAAGACATCAACACGAACAGGGCAGGTTTGCCCCTTGATCCCTCGCATTCTCAAGTTCAGCAGGAGAAATCAGCATCGCCTGGCTGCGATAGCTGAGCTCTCCAGCTGTGTCTCTGCGTAATTCGAGCTTTTTCTCCTCACGTGCATCTGTGTTTGTTAGCTGATCTATTTTTGTGACAAAGTATCCATGTCTCACCGTACAGGTCTGGATTGCTACGGAGATGGTGCTTCACGAAGCTCCGGCCAGGAAACGGCAGCACTGAGCCCTTTATCCTGTCCAGCACCTGCGACAGAGGACACGGTCAACACAGCGGGATACTATCGGAATACTTTTACTGTCAGTCGATAGAATCAGTGGGGCACTGTGCACACACTGCTTCCTTTTTTTAGTGAAGATTTTTAATGCGATAACAGCAATTCTTAACTTCTATATCCAACTGCAGTAATTAGCAGTTGTAAATTACTGGTCCACTGCAAGAGTGAGGAGACAGTTTATGTGAAAGACTCTCTGTGGTCCTGCGACTCTTCCAGCCAGGGTACCTGCAGTGTGTCAACGTTGAAGAAGGACTGGTAATACTCAAAGGTCCAAAAGCTTGCTGTCGTTCTCTCTCCACTCAGCAGCTGGAAGAACAGACAAGGGGGGCTGATTACCTCACCAGAGCAGCTTTATGCGTCATATATCAAAAACAGGACCAGATCCAGGCCTGTAACAGACACACTGTAACACACAGAGAGTAACAGCACAGGGGTTTGTAGTGCTAGTCTCATATAGAGCAAAAGAGTGTGATTGGTGTA